TAAACATTGTTTTGCGAACAAACGGTTTGCAAAGCAGGCTCCTAATCAACATAATGCGAAAAAAAAACCATTGGAACCATCATTTTGCAATCGCAATAGCGATCGCAAAAATGTTATCGTAAAGCGATTTCTACATCATGCGGGGTAAGCATCAAGCGGGGCACCACTGTATATGCCATCAAGTCAGTTCTGACTTGATAGTGACCTTTCATAGGCTGCCAAAGTATGAAACACTCAGAAATGGTTTACTAGACCCTCACAGTGCAGCTTGACCAAGGCCACTTAGGTGGCAGGGCACATAAGCCCATCAGTCCTACCTTGAACATGCCAGGAAAGCTACAGATACCTGGTGCATATATTTCTAATCTGTTATGTGCTGACAAGTTGCTCTCACCTCATGTTGACCCCAATAGAGTTGCTTCTTCGTGGCCTCTGTGAATGTACACATATGGGTTTTGTCTGTGCCTGCGCTGACGTTCTCTGAAGATTCTAGAGCTGAAAGTAACAATTTACCGTACTTTTACAATTTACAGCCACCCACCTATCTGATGAACAGGATGAGGTTAAAGGATCTTTAATACATGACTGTGTAACAATCCTTGATGGACCAACCAAGGCGCGAGTAGATTTGAAGGCCAAAACTCTGCAGAATGAAGATGCGGTATAGTTTGCAGATGGCTCAAGCTACGTAGAAGACAGTGTGTGGAAGATAGGGTGGGCTGTTATGAATCAGAATGGCTCAATGATAAGGTCAGGAGCATTGCCATCAAGCTGCTCAGCTCAACGTGCAGAGTTGGAAGCTGGTCTCCAAGCTCAACAGGCTGCAAAAGGCTTGTCAGTAACTCTGTACACAGACAGTAAATATGTGTGGGGAATCTTTAATGTGCATGCACAACTCTGGAAAGAACAGGGACTTCTTTTTTAATGATTTTTTATTATTATATAACAAACACAACAATCAAAGGAATACAAATACGAGGGGGAGAAAAGAAAAACATGACAAAACAAAACATAAACACAGGGAAGTGTTTACAATAAAAGAATATCTAATATAATCTTGACTCCATGGCTGTGTTATAATACTAAAATCCATAAGATATATTCTCTACTCATGTTTGTTTCTGGGCCTAATCATAAAACATTTTCCAGCTTTCTTTAACATATATTCTCAGGTTCTCATGTAATGACTCCGACAAACTGTCCATTTCTGCAGTGTCTAATAATTTTTTTAACAGCTCCTCTATCTTCAGATTTTCCTGATTTTTCCATTTTTGGGCCCAGGTCAGCCTTGCAGCTGTAAATATGTGTGACAACATTCATTTAAGTTTTTTTTATCAAGGATTTCTGGCATTATATTCTGCAAAAACATTTATCATTTATAAGTTATTTTCTGTTGTATAAGTTTTTGAATACTAGACGTTCCAAGACCTCTATTCAGGGCACATTACCATAGTCTCTTGAGACTGAAGAATTCCTACACAATTTCTTGTCTAATATCTTTTATCTGTCTCCAAAATCTTTTTACTCTATTGCATGTCCACCACATAAGAAAAAAAGTCCCAGGTTGCTGAGACCTTTGAAAGCTGCAGTCTCTTTCATCCCTCCCCACATGGGTAACTGCTTTGCTGAGATGTGAGAAATTGTAACCAAAGCATATATTCCTCAAGGACCAAGGACCTGCTGCATACTTTTGTTTCTTTTTTACAACTGTATCAAAACTTCAACCTTGTTGATCTTGGGGTCCCCACCCTGCTTGGGCACCCAAGTGCACACTTGTTTTATCTAAATAAACCTGTTACCCTTTCCTTCAAGAAACTGCCCACTCATCATTATTGCTCGAAGCTTGGCTTATCAGCCCTGGCCAATCAACTTCTCCTTATTAACACTTAGTGAGGCTGAATTGTTACTGCATTTTCAATTTATTCATACTAGTGATTGAAATCTGAATTTTCAGAACCTTCATTCATGGAATCATTGAGGTGAAAGGAGTTTATAATCCTTTCGAGTCCTGCTCATGGCAGGAATCCAAATCAAAATATTGTTGGAATTATTACAACCTATGCATGATGCCTTTAATAGGCTTTGGATGGGAGGTACTTTCTAGGCTGGGGTGACAATCAATCTGGCAGCAACCAATTGTTCTCTCAGATTTTTAAGAGTGTCACACCCCTCTACTCAAGAGTTCTTTTCTCACCTTTTCCCAGTCAGAATCACTATGAAGTCAGTCAGGAGTCTATAATTGATTAACTAGCCATCAAGCTAGTTAATCAATTAAGCTCTATTCATGTAGTTTTTTTCTATAATATGCTGTTTTGATCTACTCAGAACACTGAGTAAATGGGACTTTTTATTCCTTCACTTAACACTGTCTCTGAGTGAGTTATTGAGACTGTGAGTTACAGTTGAGGAGAATAAACAAGGGGTACTCCACTTTAGTGGAAAACTGAAGCTAATTCTGCTCTGTAGATTCCTGAACCTTTTCTACTGTGTAATTAGAAGTTTTTAAGCCACAAAAATCATAATCTGACAATGAATATATGAAAGTATATCTGACGTACGGTTGTCTAATTTTCTCTTGAATGCCTCCACTGCTGCAGCACTTACCAATTCCTGAAGTGACTGATTTCCTGGTCATATTGTTCTAATAGTTAGGAAGTTTCTTTTGATTTTCAATCAAAATCTTGATTCTTGTAACTTGAACCCATTATTACATGTCCTGCTGTCTGGGATGACTGAGAAGGAGATCTTGCCCATTCCCTATACGACAGCATTAATTAACCATTTCTGTGCTGTTACATATCATCATGTTGTGCTACATATTCATGACCTCCAAAAGTCCCCATTATTTGATTACATTCAGGATCATAGGGGAATGATCTAGAAATAAAGTCAAGAGAACACTTTCTTCGGTTTTAAAATCCCTGAAATAAAAAAAAATCTGGTAGGTGATAAAACATTAATGCCACTTCCTAACATTTTACTTATATTTCAGTTGTGCTAATCTGTTTTTCAAGTAAAGTTTTATCAAATGTATTTAACATGCACACATACTTTTTGGTGTTGTTTAGTCGTTAAATCGTGTCCGACTCTTTATCTTCCACAGTCTCCTGGAGTTTGGTCAAATTCATGCTGGTAGCTTCGGTGACACTGTCCAACCATCTCGACCTCTATCGTCCCCTTCTCCTCTTGCCTTCGCTTTTCCCCAACATCAGGGGCTTTTCCAGGGAAATTTCTCATGAGATGGCCAAAGTATTGAAGCCTCAGCTTCAGGATCTGTCCTTCCAGTGAGCACTCAGGGTTGATTTGCTTCAAAATGGATAGGTTTGTTTTCTTTGCAGTCCAGGGGACTCTCAAGAGCCTCCTCCAGCAACACAATTCAAAAGCATCAATTCTTCGGCGGTCAGCTTTCTTTATGGTCCAGCTCTCACTTCCATACATCGCTACTGGAAAAACCATAGCTTTGACTATGCAGACCTTTGTCGGCAAGGTGATGTCTCTGAGTTTTAAGATGCTGTCAAGGTTTGTCATCGCTTTCCTCCCAAGAAGCAGATGTCTTTTAATTTTGTGGCTGCTGTCACCATCTCCAGTAAGCATGGAGCCTAAGAAAGTGATGGGACCAGTGGCCATGATCTTGATCTTTGATGTTGAGCTTCACAACATTTTTTGCGCTCTCCTCTTTCACCCTCATTAAGGGGATCTTTAATTCCTCCTCACTTTCTGCCATCAGAGTGGTATTATCTGCATATCTGAGGTTGTTGATATTTCTTCCGGCAATCTTAATTCCACTTTGGGATTCATCCAGTCTTGCCTCGCATGATGTATTCTGCATATGTTAAATAAGCAGGGGGACAATATGCAGCCTTGTCATACTCCTTTCCCAATTTTGAACCAATCAGTTGTTCCATATGCAGTTCTAACGGTTGTTTCCTGTCCCACATATAGATTTCTCAGGTGATAGATAAGGTGATCAAGCACTCCCATTTCTTTAAGAACTTGCCATAGTTTGTTGTGGTCCACACAGTCAAAGGCTTTTGCGTAGTCAATGAAGCAGCAGTAGATCTTTTTCTGGAACTCTCTGGCTTACTTAATATGTACTTATGTGTCAGTTTCAACTGTACAGTATTTCTGTTTTAATGATTAACTATAATTGTTTTATTTAGCTACAGTCCAGGACTGATGTAATGATAAACTTTTGTCTAATCTCAAGGAGAGAGATGTGTGCTAGCCTCACCTCCTGCTGACTGTTTTCTTCACAGGTGTGGCTTCAAGGGAGTGGTGCTGAAAGGGCAGCTAGACTGTTTGCTTTCCCAGGTTAACACACTTCAACATGTCAGGGAGGGAGAGGGGGATCACAGGCCAAAGGAACAAGGCAGGAGAATTAAGGTGTTATTGTGCCCATTTTCAATTCCGACCACAAGCCCTTCTCTGCCAGGATTTCATCATCTTCAACTGGCTGCATTTTAGATGTATAAGAACTTTCCTTTCTGAAACAAAGTCTTGCTCTCAGCTTTGTCTTGAGAAAGAGTTTAGTGCACGTTCCTTGCAACTTAATGTATACCTTTTATTTATTTAAACTATTTTTACTTCGCCTTTCTCCCTCAGCCAACGAAGGAGGCTTACAACAATGAAAGACAATATTTAAAGCTAAAAACAATGAGTACACAGCCATGGTTAAAAGACAAAGCATCTCCTCAAAGATTTTAGAGATACTGGAAGTGAAGTCCTCAGCCTTGTATCTAGCTGGGATCTCACCCAGAGAGAAACGCAATAGTTTGAGGCTGCTATAATTCAAAACAGATTTTGAGAGGCACAGTGCTGGCAACAAGGAGGGGCAGGATTACACTTTTATACAAACCTGGAAGACTTAGCTTGAGGTTTCCTGACGAACGCCTCCTCAAAGAAACAGCAAGCTTACTCACAATAGTATCTGCTTGTCCTAAATGGGGAAAGAGGGGGGGCGGGTGGAAAGGCTCCGCCTTTAGAGAGTATCTTTTATAACGTGAAACTGGTATACAGTGGCCATTTTGCCCTCAGGGGAATCGCTGTTGACAGATCGATCTCTTGAGCTGAAAGCCAGCGTGGGCTTGCGCAGTATCGCATCTCGTCCACAGGTTGCTCGGTCGTAGAGCTGTTTTGAGAGGCTTCTCTTCTAAGCGCAAAGGCGGGCTACCTTCTTGCGGTGAGAAGAATTTGCATGTACAGTACTTTTCTCTGGGTTGCTCTTGTAACCGTACAATCCTGTGCGTGTCTACACGAGGTCAGCCCCTTTGGCTTCAGTAGTACTTACTCTGCAGGTAACCGTGCGGCGGTGTAGCTTTGCATCTAGTAGTAGCACATCATGAAGTACCAAATTTGTTATGATGTGTGCTGCTTTTAATACTATCTTTTTGTAGCTTGATGTTATTTCGTAGGCGCACTTCTGCTGCAACTGATGAGATGGACTCTAGTGCACCAAAATAAACTTAGTCTCTTTGTGGCAACAGACTAACAAAGTTGCCTCAAGCCACCCGTTTTTAGAAATTTACCCTCACACAGTCCAGACCCAAAATGGAGGGCTGAAATTTGATTCAGGAAGTGAGTTCTTATTAAGACCGCTTGTCCACACTGCTATTTCTGTGGGGAAAAACAAGTGTTGATGCAATGCGTTGTAGCATTTTGCTGTGAAATGGGGATATAGGAAAAGTAGTGTGTGTTCAGTATCTTGGAGCTCTGATTGCGCCAGGATTCAGACAAATGTATAGCGATTTTAATATGGGTGAGGAAGTATTTATTAGGTCCACACTTCCACATTTGCTGCAAAAGAGCATGGAATGAGTACAGTATTCAGTTTTTATTTGTGGCATCACAGTTAATCCAGTTACTCCTAGCCACTGCTTAATTTCTGGTTATAAATATATTACTGTTTAACATCAGCCTTCCTCATAGAGAGAGGGGCAACTAATATAATAAAGCAATGTGCAGACCGTGGCTGGAAACAAGATTGCATTATTACTAATAATGATAATTGGCTGTGCTCATGTACTGGCAAACCATTACTAACTTCTACAATCCTAAAATGGAAAAGTAAAAGACAGGAGAAACTTTCAGTCCTTGCCCTTACTCCCACATCTGCGGAAGTTTGTATTGGCTGGAATCCAGTTGCATAGCGTAATAAGTCACAGTTAGAGTAAGCACATTTATGGAGAAATTGACATGCCAAATCCCCAGTAATTCAATAGGCCTATGCTTGTGCAACTTATCACACTAAGCAACAGGTTTTCAGGCATTGTACCTTATTATTTAGCCACCTATCTGCTCAAGACAGCCTACAAAATCTTGAAATTATCTGATGAGACTGTTATGATAAATGCACAATAATAAAAATATGTTATTAATTGGATATTATTTAACTCTTGATTGGCTGCAGATAGGAGCTGCAGTTGAGTGGCAGGCAACTATGTTGCTTGCAGATGGTTCCACATTCAGCAGATAGCTAGTATTTTTTTGAACTGCTTTTAATTTTTTAAATGGTGCTTTTTCAAAAGTTCTGTTTCAACAGTTGGCTTTCTGTTGTGTTTTGTTATATTCTTCTGTCTAAGTTTACTCTAAACTGCTTTGATTCCCATTAAGGCAAAGACCAATAAGTATACAAAAAAGTCACTCTGAGATCAAAAACATAAAAATGGACTAAAAATCCAGTCAGAGTACTGCATAACAATCTTTATGCAATATTTTATAACAATTATTATGTGTCCTGCACTCTGGGATGATTGAGATCCTGTCCCTCTTCTGTACGACTACCTTTCAAGTACCGTATTTTTCCATTTACCAGACAACCCACAGTATAAGATGACCCCCCTTTTCTAACACCCAAATTAGAAAATTTGAGGGCAGCACACGCGTGCACCCCTTTAATCCTTGTGCCCTTTCCTGGCTGCCTTTACCGCTTTCTAAGCCCAGCAGAGCTTAGGAAATGGCTAATGCAGTCATGAAAGGGCAGCACGCTCTCACCCATTTGGTCCTGATGCCCTTTCATGGCTGCTTCAGGATCAAAGGGGTGCAAGTGTGCTGCCCTTTCACGGCTGCTTCACTCTGTGGCTTTGTAAAAGGCAGGGAAAGCAGCTGCCTGCCCTGTATAAAACAACCCTCAATTTTTGATCCAATTATTTAAGTAAAAAAGTCTCATCTTATACACAGAAAAATACGGTATTTGAAAAGTGCTATCATATCTCCGCTCAGTCTTCTTTTCTCAAGGCTAAACAAGCCCATTTCTTTCAGTCTTTCCTCATAGGGCTTGGTTTCCAGTCCCTGATCATCCTTATTGCCCTCCTCTGAACTTGATTGAATTTGTTGGCATCCTTCTTAAAGTGTGGTGTCCAGAACTGGACACAATACTCTAGATGAGGCCTAGCCAGTGCTAGATAGAGGGGGACTACACAGGATTTACTTCTGAATTTACAGAACATATACTTATGTTAATTCAGTCTAAAATAGCATTTGCTTTTTTTTGCAGCCACACCACATTGTTGGCTCATATTCAGCTTTTGAACTACAACAATTCCAGGATCATTCTCCCTTGTAGTATTACTGAGCCATGTATCCCCCATATTGTAGTTGTGCTTTTGGTTATTTCCTCCAGGAATAGCACTTTGTATTTATCCCTGTTAAATTCCATTCTGTTGTTTTCAGCCCAATGCTTAAGCATAACAATATCTTTCTGAATTTTTTTCTGTCTTCCAAGGTATTATCTATTCCACTCAATTTTGCATCATCTGCAGATTTGATCACTATTCCCTGCACTCCCTCATCCAAGTCATTAATAAAAATGTTGAAGAGTGCTGGCCTGGGACTCAGCCTTGTGATACCCCACTTGTTACCTCCCCCAAGTATGAGAAGGAGCTATTGATAAGCACTGTCTGAGTACAATTCTGTAACCAGCTGTATATCTAGCCCACTCGTTATCTTGCTTATTTATTTATTTATTTGGTTGGTTGGTTGGTTAGTTGGTTAGTTGGTTAGTTGGTTAGTTAGTTCTTGGATTTATACCCCTCACCATCTAGCAACCAGGCCACTCTGGGCTGCTAACAACAATATAAACAGCAATATTAAAACACGATAGAAAATAAAATAATACATAGCAACAAGATAAATTAAAACATATGACAATGAAGGTGGTAAAAGGGTGATGAAAAGGATGGCAAAAATGATGGTAAAAGGGGGGCCAAGATCTTAATGGTCAGGGAAAGCCTGGCAGAAGAGCCAAGTCTTCAATGCTGATTCGTAAACAGAATACAATGGTGCCTCGCAAGACGGGCGCTCCGTTTAATGACGAATCCGCATTATGACAAGTTCTTTGCGATTGGAAAAGCGATCGCAAAACGACATTTTGAATGAGCGAATTTCGCTGCGCGATGATCGGTTTCCTGTTTCGGGAACCTATTTTCACTTCCCGGCGATAAAAACAGCTGATTGTCGGGTTTTCAAAATGGCCACCGGTGCTCAAAATGGCTCCCCGCTGTGTTTAGGAGCCATTTTTCGCTGCACAGGCACCTGAAAATGGCCGCCCCTGTGGAGGATCTTCGCTGGACGGTGAGTTCTTAGCCGATTGGAATGCATTAACCAGGTTTTAATGCATTTCAATGGCTTTTTTATTTTCGCTTTACAACGTTTTTGTTCTACAGCGATTTTGCTGGAACGAATTAACGTCGTAATGCGAGGCACCACTGTATCATGAGGCACATTGTCAAATGCTTTGCTGAAGTCAAGATGTATTATGTCTATAGCATTCCCATCATCTGCCAGGGAGGTTAACTGATCAAAAAAATTAGATAAGATGGTTGTTGTGGGTTTTCCAGGCTGTTTGGCTGTGTTCTTATGGTTTTTCTTCCTAACGTTTCACCAGTCTCTGTGGCCTACATCTTCAGAGGACAGGAGTCTGTCTGTGCTCTGTTGCAGTTTGTTGGATAGTTGAGTATTTATAGCTGTGGGATCTGATTTTGTCTATTTCAGGAGATTCGTTGATTATGGTGATTAGCGTGTTTTTTGTTGTGGGTGTATTGTTGTGATAAGGGAGAAACATGATCTGTCACTGTGATTGATGGGGACCCATTTACAATATAGCTGATCCCACCCATTTATAGCTGATCCTGTCCCCTGAAAACCTGCAACAACCATCAGATCCCGGCCATGAAAGGCTTTGAGAATACAAATTAGATAAGGTTAGTCCAGCTTGTTGACTTCTGGTTATTACTGCACAGTTTTCAAGGTGCTTGCTTAGTAACTGTCAGCTCTTGCTGGTAATTAACAGAGTCCTGGTGAAGAAAATAACATGAACACAGCTCTTCTTGCAAGACATGTGTATTTACAATATGTACAAATATACAGAGCAGCAGTCCTTCGGCATAGCAACAGTATAAGTAGAGGCATAGTAATGGATAGAGGAGAAGGTAGGAGAATAGAGAGAGTACATCATATACACACAGTACACTTATATACATACAAGTAGATGCTTCTGTCCAATCAGGACAGGTGTTGCATCATCCTCAGACACACCTCTTCAAAGTCACTGTGACTCAGCACTTCTGAGTCTGCACAGGTGAACATTATGGCAGCTCATTATTTCTACTGTCTGGATCTATTCAGGCCTGTAAAATTCTCAATGTTCTGACAGTAACTGCTTTATAATCTGCTCCAGAATTTTCCCTGAGATTGATGCCAGTTTGACCAGTCTGTAGTTCACTGGTTCATCTTTTTGTCTCTTTTTGATAAGGACAACATTAGCCCTCCACCAATCATCTGGCACTTCACCCATCCTTCACGATTTTAAGAAAATAATAAGACAGTGGTTCTGCAATCTATTTAGCCAGTTCCTTCGATATCCTTGGATGCAGTTCATTCTGCCCCAGGGATTTGAACTCATTTAAAGTAGTAAGCTACTCCTTGCCTTTTTAAAAAATCAGTCTAAGTCTGCAACCCTATCCCCTGCCTTTATACTTCATATTCGCATGGAGGGGCATAGACAGTCTTTTATCCTTGTGTGGACACTCTGGGCGTACATAGATTGCCCAGGGCCATATGGGCTTGCTCTTCTCCTAAAAGGCACTGCAGGGAATCAAATTCCTGGCCTCCATCCCTACAGCACTGGCTTACTTCACTGAGCTATCCAGACAGCTCTTTGGGAGACAATAGACTATACAGTACTGAGCTGGAATCACCAATGGTCCCATTCAGTGTACTCTACCCTAATATGCTCACATTGGTAAAGCTGCAACAAAAACATTGTTTGAAGATCTACACTGATTTTTTCTTGTATCTGTTCTCTTTTATCTTACTAGGATAAGATTTGGTGACAACTTTAGAATGGCTATGGCACCTGCTTCAGATATTGGAAAAGTGGAGGCCTCCCCAGGAGAACGAAAGGATCAGGTTTGTTCTTTCTTGTTCTGCCACAAGTAGTGATTGATTTTTTTAGTGAAGTAGAAAATGATTTAATATCACCACAGTATAGAGAAGCATATATCACTGGTACCTTGTGGCGCAGTGGTTAAACCGCTGTACTGCAGCCAAAACTATGCTCACGACCTGGGGTTCAATCCCAGGTAGCCAGCTTGAGGTTGACTCAGCCTTCTATCCTTCTGAGGTCGGTAAAATGAGTACCCAGCTTGCTTGGGGGGGGGCAATGTGTAGCCTGCATAATTAACTTGTAAACCGCCCAGAGAGTGCTTGAAGCACTATGGGGCGGTATATAAGCAGCATACTTTTTCGCTTTTTGGTACCAGAAACCCGTACTCCCCCAGTGGACTGGTAACGAGAGCACAAGAACTGTTAATAGTTCTTATGCTAGCAGGGCAGGAAGGAGGTGGGATCCCATATAAATTTGTGGGGGTGGGAGGGTGCCCCCAAATAGTAGGAAAGAATAAAAAGCCTTAATTTAATTCTATGTATTTATAGTTGTATTTAAAGTCTTTTTAATTAAAAAATGGGTTTTGCTTTGCACATACCTTGTTTCAGACTGAAACTTGGAAATATCTACCCAGAAGGGGAAAGAAAATGATATAATTCACTATTATAACAAGAAAGAGTTGCTTCCTGTCACAATATCAGCTAAGAATTATGAAGGGGAAAATATTCCTTTTGTGTATTGGGTTTCAAGCATGAAGATACATTCTGTCATTTCATTTTTACTTTGTATTTTAATTCAGATAAACTTTCCCTATTATTCTATGGCCACATTTAGTCTAATTTCCTGAATGCATGTTTCAGCGTATTGTTAGCAGGAAAAGGGTGAGGTTGTGACTGCATTGTGAGAAATCACTTTCAGTCACTCACTGGGAAGTTGCATCAGGGAGTCCTGGTTTCCTCAGGCCAGTTCAAATTAACTGGCTGCACACAGAGAGAGGAGGAAGGCCTTGTTTATAGCTTGTTCAGAGTTTGTTAATATAGCTGCCTTGTAGCCCTGTAGTTTGGGCAGCTTCAGAAGAGCTATTTAATAAACTGCAATAACTTGTAAACAAGGAGAGAATGCCAATTTTTCCTCATTTCCTTTTCTCATTTTGTATTTGTTTTTCCATTTAAATTTATTTACTTATCTTCTGCTTAGAAACCCTAGTTCATTAGCGCTGCTAACAAGCTGATTTTTAAAAAGAAAAGAAATAGTATTACTTGGAAAGCCCTTCACCCCAGCTCTTGCTACACCCCTTGTAGCATTTTCTGCATTTTTTCCAATGCGGTTACACTCTGAGACCAATATTTTAAAATGACAGACTTTTTAAAAAAATGTTCTTTGTTAATTTCAGCAAAAAACTAGTTTCCACCCAAGTTATTTTACAACTTTTATTTTATTTTAATTTTATTTAAAATTTAAAAATGTTAAGTCTTTACTATTTCAGCTAAGCATACAATGAAAACAAAATAGATGGCAAACCATATTATTGGTGTGGTGTGCAGCAAAAGAAGAAAACAAGATTATTTTCTTTATCTTTCATTATGTTGTTCTCATATAACTGTTTGTCTGGATTTTTTTTTCAGAAGATGCATTGTCCCATTTCAAATGTGAACACTGAAGAAATTGCAAAGATCCGTAAACAATGTAGAGAAGAAAGTTTTTGGTACAGAGGTAGATTGCTTTGTTCTTCATGTAACAAAAATATAACAGGGTCTTTGTTTTTTCTTTTCATTTTAACATTTTGTTTTATTGTTTAATAGTCTGCTAGAAAAGTGCTGCTGCAAGATTTCGTTTGAGCAAATTTCTGTTTTATAACTTTTTTTTTCAAAACTGTGCTAGATTATTTACCTGTAAGTTTCTTTGTGACTTCAGTAGGAATGAGAATTACCTTTGAATGAGTGTGCTTGAATGTAATAATAAATAGTTCATAATTATGGGATTGAAACATGCTAATATGAGCGTTGGGGCTCTGCACACTTCCGTCATCCTGTAATGTGATGGTGAGATCAGAGTTTTTTTGCTTTCGTTTTCAACTGACATTTCAGTTTTGCATTATGTCTGAACTCAAAACACTGTGATATAGTCCATTTCCTGATGGTTCATTAATATAAGGCAGCTGTGGCGGAATGCCCACATCACTCCTGTCCATCATATGGAGCTCAAGTGCAGGAACCTGTGATAGGACAGGAGGGGCGGAGTTAGGGTGACAATTAGAGAGAAGGAGAGAGAGGGAATGGAAGTGAGAAAGTTAGGACATTGAATTGAGGAAGCTAAGACAGAGATTGGAAAGTTGGAGGGTTATAGAGAATAGGAAAGAGTTAAAAGGAAGAGGAATATAGAATAGATAGATGGTCAAAGAATATTGTTAAAGTGGTTATTGTGAATAAAAGCACATACAAGCAAACGTGTAATCAAATCCGATTTAATGAATGATCCTCCACAACTGTGATTTACATCTGTGATTTACATACCAACTAAAAGATCAATAAACCTGTTGTATTGCAGCACGTGTCTGAGATACTTATATTTGGTATACTGTGGACTAGATCCACTGGTCTCCTTCATGGATTGCTGCCTTGTCGTGGCGAAGGGGCTTGAGTAATTCAGAGAAGCTATGGGCTATGCCGTGCAGGGACACCCAAGATGGACAGGTCATCTGGAGAGTTCCGACTAAACGCAATCCACCTGGAGTAGTACTGAAGCCACTTCAGTATTTGTGCCAAGAAAACCCCATGAACAGAAACAAAAGGCTAAAAGATACGACGCTGGAAGATGAGCCCCTCAGGTCGGAAGGCGTCCAACATGTTACTGAGGAAGAGCGGAAGAAAAGTACAAGTAGCTCCAGAGCTAATGAAGTGATTGAGCCAAAGCTGAAAAGACGCTCAGCTGTGGATGTGCCTGGAAGTGAAAGGATAGTCCAATGCTTCAAAGAAAAATACTGCATAGGAACCCGGAATGTAAGATCTATGAACCTTGCTAAGCTGAATGTGGTGAAACAGGAGATGGCAAGAATAAACACTGACATCCTGGGCGTCACTGAACTAAAATGGACAGGAATTGGCAAATTCAATTCAGATGACTATCATATCTACTATTGTGGGCAAGAAGCCCATAGAAGGAATGGAGTAGTCCTCATAGTCAACAAAAGAGTGGGAATAGATAGAGTGGGAAGAACATCTACTTCTCCTTCATTGACTATGCAAAAGCCTTTGACTGTGTGGACCACAGCAAACTATGGCAAGTCCTTAAAGAAATGGGAGTGCCTGACCACCTTGTCTATCTCCTGAGAAACCTATACGTGGGACAGGAAGCAACAGTTAGAACTGGATATGGAAGAACTGGTTCAAAATTGGGAAAGAAGTACAACAGGCTGTACTGTATATTGTCTCCTTGTTTATTTAACTTATATGCAGCATCATGCAAAAGGCAGGACTAGACGAATCCCAAGAATACATCGTGTGAAAGGCCGGACTGAAGGAATCCCAAACTGGAATTAAGATTGCCAGAACAAATATCAACAACCTCCGATATGCAGATGATCCCACTCTGATGGCAGAAAGTGAGGAGGAATTAAGTAACCTTGCAATGAGGATGAAAAAGGAGAGCGCAAAAATGGTCTGAAGCTCAACATTTAAAAAAACTAATATCATGGCCACTGGTCCAGTCACCTCCTGAGAAACAGAAGGGGAAAATATGGAGGGAGTGACAGATTTTACGTTCTTGGGCTCCATGATCACGGCAGATGGTGACAGCAGCCACAAAATTAAAAGGCGCCTGCTTCTTGGGAGGAAAGTGATGACAAACCTCAACAGTATCTTAAAAAACAGAGTTGGACCAGAAAGAAAGCTGACCACCAAAGAATTGATGCTTTTGAATTGTGGTGCTGGACAAGGCTCTTGAGAGTCCCCTGGACTGCAAGGAGAACAAATGCATCCAGAGTGTGGACTAGAGTTTGGGGAGAACAAACAAGGGACACTGGGGGGATGCAACAGCAGCTTGATAAACTAAAGTTTGAAATGTGTTTTTTTCAGCAAATATGACTAAGAATAACTGAAGTTTGTCCAGGGTAGTTAGAAAAGAGGAAGTGAAAGCCATAATTTTGTTATGGTTGTACTGGAAGAGAGCAGAGAATGTGAAGCTGTGGTTCACCTAGACCAGTGATTTCCAACCTGGGGTACATGTACTCCGAGGGTACAAACCAGGACATTTACGGGTATGTGAAAAAACTGAATAATGGCAGAAAAAGGCACACCCGTCAACAGTATAAGTCAGTTATTTATACCTGGAGCAGTGAGAAACCCCTCAGCTTCTTCTTTCTCTCCCCACTCACTGCACGGGAGCCCAACCAGTTGGCTTTCACTCCAAGGCAGTGTCTGTTCTTGTTCTGTCACTAACCTGACGGGCTTGTGCTACCTGCTCCTTTCCTATCAATGACAGCAGTCCTTATGGGTTTTAAACACTTTGCTGGCACACTTGTGCATGCTGCTAGAGACAGTGAGGAAGTGGCCTGAAGATGAGAGGGCAGAGAGTCGCCCCAGCCCCTAATGTGAATGATAGAAAAATGCAAATAGGCTGCCAAATGGTACACAAGTGAAAAAATGTTGGGAACCACAGACCTGGACTCTAGGCCCGAAAGTCATTTCCATAGTGGTGAACTATATTGAGTTGCCTGCATGCAAGCAAAAGCTATATTTTTACTTAGGAAGCTACTGCATATGCTAGTCTTTTGCTACTGCAAGCAACTCCTTTCCTTCTCTCTACATAATGTGATCAAGCCAGAAACCTCTTACTGTATTTTCATTTTGCCGTAAGTGGGAACCTACCAAAGCAAGCCAGGGTATTAAACCAGCTAGAAAAGATTGTGATTCTACAACAAGGGTGTTGTGTGTTACAATTTGCACAAATACTGCAGTTTTTTGTTCTTTTATTTTCTACAGCTCTTCCTTTATCTCTGGGAAGTATGCTTGTCGTCCAAGGACTTGTTGCTAATGGTAAATGTTTCTACTTAATTTTTTAAAAATTGAAAACAGTTTGAAAAAGTTTCTAGAATCATCAGCTATTAGCTGCGACACTTTAAAGGTTTCAGAAAAAAGAGAGAAAAGCTCAGTCCAGATCAAGATTAAACACTAGAAATCTACAACTTTAAATATTCAACAGAATGTGTAACTCTATCTAAGGAAGTGGACTTGTCCACAGAAGCTCACATTAAAATATAGCAGCTAGTCTTTAAGATGCCACAAGGTTTTATCTTCTTTATTCTTTTAATTTTCTTTTATTTTTGGCTGATGTGTAACTCTATGGATAATTTCACACATTGTCCAAGGGTGAACTGGAATCTGCCACTTGTTGTATCTCATACTTGAAGGATGGATGGATTTGGCACATTTATACTTATGCTTTTTGGGATACAAGTAAAACATCTTGGATGTTTACCTAAAATATGAATTAACTCCAGATTTAAAAGGATATTAGAATGTATCTTCTTTGTTGGGCATCACATATATTATTGAGTATTATGTATTATACTGTGTATACTTTGCATTGTAAGGATTCTGATTTTCTGTCTTAAGGAAATGCAGAAGCGTTTCACATGATCAGCAGGTGGAAATGACATTTCCTAATAGCTACCCTTGATTCTAGGTATCCTCAAACCAAACCCTAGACTTGGACCCTTTCCTAAAATGGCACGTAAGTATAAAAACTACTAAAAAGCAGGAAAATTATAACCCTGAATCTGTAACTAGTGTAAATGAGTGTGATTAGAATGCTGCTATTCCTACATGCTACAGTAGAAAATGGATATCCCTAAGGAAAAAAAAATCTCTTGGTGTTTTTTAAGCTTGCCTTCTTCTTCCAGCAACTATATTCACATGCATTTGCCCTCCTCACCAGTAGGCAATAGTCGCCTGTCCTCTGGGTGAACATGCTAGATTCTCATACGTATCTGTGCATGCGAAGCTTTTGCTGCATGAAAGTAGTTGTGAGTTGTGGCACTAAACCAACCCTGTCATTAAAAATGGTATAATAATAACTGCTGCCCTCTAAGTCAGTGGTCTCCAACCTTGGGCCTCCAGATGTTCTTGGACTTCAACTCCCAGAAATCCTGGCCAGCAGAGGTGGTGGTGAAGGCTTCTGGGAGTTGAAGTCCAAGAACATCTGGAGGCCCAAGGTTGGGGACCACTGCTGTAAGTCACACACACACACACACAAAATACCGTAAGTGCAAAGTAGCAGCTTTTCTTGGGTTTCTTTCTTCATAGATTAGTGTGGCCCCAAAAATTCAAACAACCATATTTGATATTTGAATTATTGACCAATATGTTACATTTGATTATACATCAAATTATAGTAATTTTAATGTTTTTCTTTTCTTATATATATAGTTGCTGGTGTCCTGGGTTATGCTGTCGGGACAATGTCCTACATAAGAATATGTATGAAGAAGTTTGAAAGTGCTGGTGCTCCTTTTTTTGGCAAAGGACAAAAATGGTTTGTTTGGCATATGCAATAGCACTTGGCTTTTGTAAACTGACATGTTGTGTTAAAATTCTGGTATATTCATATGAATTAGGCTTATTTGCATTTTTCATTCTTTCCATGCCAGGACCTGGCTGAATTGGACAAAAAATGGGAACACTGGTACTCAGCCATGACATGTTGTTTTTCTAGAGTAGAAGGAGGACACTCTTGCTTTGGGTTATTCCTCTCACTTGCTTTGACAGGCAGGATCTTCAAACCACTCAGGTTGACAATGGATACCCCTAGCATGGCTGGGTAACCCCAGTTTTCCAGTCTTGTCTCTATTCTACAAGCAGAGAGTAGTAAAGATAATTATTATGTGGATAGATGTGTAGCCATTGCATTTAAATTCATTCCAGTAAGCTGCAGTATCAGTGGGAGACATAGGACAATAGGGAAACTGGCTGTCACTTGAATCCTCTCCTCTCCACCTTTCATATTTGCTGTCATCTTCCCTTCCTATTCTTTTTCTTTCTTTTCTTTTAAAGACTTACTAATCTAGTGATAGGGTGGCTCAGTGACCACAGAGAAAAAAAAGAGTGAGGAATCTGCAGGGAGAGATGAAAACCTTTTAAGATAGCTCTGCTCTAACCATACTTCCTGCAAATTTGGATGATCAGCTAACAGAACTTCTCTCTCTCTCTCTGCTTTGTCATTTTCCCTCTTTGGTCACCTAGCTATCCTAGTGCTAGACTAGCAAGCCTTTAAAAGAAAAAAGGAACAAAAAAAAAAAACAGAATGGGAAGGAAAGATGAAAGCAGACCTGGGCACCAGGTGAGGGGAAGAGAGGATAGAATTCTGAACAAGCTGCAAACAAGGCTGATTCCCTCCCCTCCCCCCTGACTCCTGTGTGGGTGGCTGAAGTGAATTAACCTGGAGAGACCTACTTCCCAGGTGCACCTTCCCTGCAGATCCTGCTGTGTAGTTGCACTCTGACAAAGGACGAAGGTGACTTCCAAGTGGCAGCTTTAGTATGTCCAGTAAGTGTGCCCTGCCCTGATGCCAAAGTCTGCAAAAGCAGTTGCATTCGGAGTGGAAGGTGCAGTGATACCTTTGAGTGAATCCAGTTTTGTAACAGAGAACACAGGCCTTATTCCAACATGACAATGTGGACTTTGATACTTTCCTTCTCACAGTTCTGGCTGGAAGGAAACAACTGGTATAAACTGCCTAGGTTTCTTAGGGTAAATCTTAACAACTGATTTTATATCCAACCTATGCCACTCATCTTCCAATGGCCAGTATGGGTTTGAACAGAAAGAGGGCAACATTACTTGCTGTGCTCTGAAAAACAGGGTTTTGATATAAAGGAAGTATCCAGATATAAGACTACAGTATCAGGTTTTGGAGCCTCAGCTTCAGATCCAACACTTTGGCCATCTCATGAGAAGACTCCCTGGAAAAGACTCTGATGTTGGGAAAGAGTGAAGGCAAGAGGAGAAGGGGGCGACAGAGGATGAGATGGTTGGACAGTGTCATTGAAGCGACCAACATGAGTTTGACCAAACTTCGGGAGGCAGTGGAAGACAGGAGGGCCTGCCGTGCTCTGGTCCATGGGGTCACGAAGAGTCGGACACGAATTAATGACTAAACAACAACAACATCAGGTTTTAGGATACAAAGGTCTGTTCTAGTCAAGAGGGCCCCTGTTTCAAACAGGGACAGGAACTGGAGCAAACCAGAGGTTGCTCTCCCATGCTGGAGGCATGGCATTTGAACTGTGATCTTGCAGACCTGTATTGTCACTTCATTAGATACTTTTTTTCATATGAAGTAGGATCATGTGTGAATTGGGGGATGGGGTACAGGTCTTTGATTATTTGTTCCAAATGGTATAGTGCATCATATGCAAGAATGTATACCTGTGAAGATTTCTGGACTGAGGTATTCACATCCAACTCGGATGCACTTCTTTCAAAGAATCCTTGTGGCAACAGACTCTTTCTTTTTCTGACCTTTCAATGTTCTTAGGCATTGCCATCATACTTGCGAACAGTGCCAAGCCAAACTTAAAGCAAGTCCGTCAGAAAAACCAGAGACATCGGTCATTTAAAAAACAGGTACTCATCTTTGAAGTTTTAACATTATATACTGTACATATTTGAATTTTTTCAGTTCTTTATATCTTGTAGAAGTTATTTTCAGCAATGATGTAAGAAGCTGACACTTCTCTTGGCAGATCTAGAAGTTCTTTGTATTTGCAGCTTGAGTTAACCCTTTTTTAAAAGTGATGCCTGGTAATCAATGAGCTTTTTAAAAAAACCAAATGAACCTTTTCTAGTGGTATTTCTCTTTTTTTTGGTACTCCCATATTTCATAGGATATTAATGATGCACCCAAGTGGAAACATTTTAATTAAAATCCAGAACAGTCTCTGAATATTGGTGTCTTGGATAGTTGCTCAGAAAAATAATTGTTAATCTGTGGTATGTGTCTTTACCATTGATTCTTACTCAGCCAGTTCTACTTTGATTCACTTCAAGGGTGTGAGAGAAAATGTGCTTCAAATTGATTTCTGCATATTATATTGCTTGCTCACAATGTCCAGCAGAAAGCCATGCCCTGCTTCTTTTGAACATGCCCACAACTCTTTCAAATTACTGACAGCGGCTGTAGACATAACTGAACAGATAATAGTTCACTGTAGTCAATCTGATGTTCAGATGATGGTGAACTTGTAACACCTGAAGGGGAACTTGTGTGGTCTGCATCTACACCTTTCATATTTTCTCTGGCAAAAATTGCTATCACACTGCTGATGCTGCTTCTTTAACACTTAAAGAAGATCTAACACATTACACAAAGACCAGCTTTTTATGTTTGTACAATGGTTTAAGCTGTATCACATAATTTACAGTGCAAGTTTCTGCAGAAGTTGGTGGGCCACAACTTTGGGAATATTGCAGAATAGCTTGGCTCATGTTTAATTTTTCTTGGAAATTCCTGGAGGGAAACGTGCCTCCAAGGAGCAAATTTTGGGGCATAGTCTAGGATTACTGCCTTTCAGTCCTTGATCAGAAAAATGTATCCACCTAAATCTTATGTAGTTTCACTTTAACATTAACGCAGGGCTTTTTACTTACATTGGTCTAGTATCTATATAGACTGGGAGCAGTTTTAAAATTTTATAATAGATAAAATAACTTCTCTATTTCAGATGACAACAGAGGAGGCCGTTCTGTCATGGTGCCTGTGCTATAAGATGATCTCATTCTTCTGTAGAAACTGCCTCCTTCCAAAAACCTATTCTGTATTTTACATGATTTTAAAATAAAAGTTTTCTTTTCCTGTTTCATTTCATTTTATTACCTTGATCTGAGATTTTGTAGTATTAAACTGCATGTGAAAAATGTAGAGACGCCTTACAGGATCAGTCCTCTTGCAGACAACCAGACTGCTTTCAGGATCTTAAAGCTGCAATTTAGAATGTCTCTCAAACAGTTAAATAAATGGCTGTTGTGAGTTTTTTGGGCTGTTTGGCCATGTTCTAGAGCAGTGGTTCTTAACCTTTGTTACTCGGATGCTTTTGAACTGCAACTCCCAGAAACCCCAGTCAGGACAGCTGGTGGTGAAGGCTTCTGGGAGTTGCAGTCCAAAACTCCTGAGTAACCCAAGGTTAAGAACCAGTGTTCTAGAGGTTTTTCTTCCTAACATTTTGTCAGTCTTTGTGGCTGGCATCTTCAGAGGCCAGGAGCTAGAATTAAATAAATGCTAAGGTGCTTTATCCTACAATGCAGTTACAAAACAAATGATAGCTGTGAACAGCTCCCCATTGAATTAAGGAACAAATTAGTATTTATTATTAATAAAAATAAACATTTTCAGTTACAATTACTACTGCCTTCACCCAGGTAAATCTTTTTTTAAATTTTTATTTTTTTAAATAAAATCCATGCATGCTTATTTAACATTGTGTCACTTGGGGTTCAGCTTATAATCATTGGTTAATACAACTACAATACATATTAAGATCCTAATCTAGATTAAGACCCAGGTAAGAAATCTTAGCAGCTTCATCCACTCCACTCCTGTATCTCTCTTCTTCCCATCCCAATCATTTGCTTCACACTAGTCTTTTTTCTCTCCTAGGATTCTGGTAGCCAGTCCAATATTTGCTTCTAGAGATGAGCACAAACTGTGGTTCAGTGTGGTGTGGCAATACAGTAGCACAGCTGTTCCACAACCACCCCAACTTCCCTTGCCCTGCCTCCTCTGATGGGCACCCACTTAGAGGCAGTGGTGCAGCATCTCAGTCCTGCTTCCTCTGGGTGCCTGCCGGAAAAAGCAGGGCAAGGGAAGCTGAGGTGACTGGGGAGCAGTTGTGCTGCTGCGCTGCCCCACCGTGGTTTGTGCCCGTCTCTACTCACTTCCACTCGCACAGAATTGAAGCTCCCTATTTAGAAGTTCAAGGATAAAAATTGTACAATTATATTAATTGTGTGGCCAGAAAAGATATTATAGATGCAGTTTATATGATACACTTAACAGAAGAGTCTACCAAATGCTTCTTATCTGGAACTACTCAAACTTAATTATCTGTGAGCCCAGTTGGGCTCTGAGGGGATCCATTTCAGGTTATTATAACCAATCAGTTATTTCAGTTGGGAAATGAGTAGTGTCTATGCAAGATTTCATTTCCATCCCTTCCCATTTCAGAGATCTTTTGAAACAAACTTTCAAGAGTATTTGTAAGAGAAGGAAATGTTTTCATGCGATTAGCATACATTCTCATTCTAAGATGCTGCACACTGGGAAGAAATTAAGAAACTGTTATTGAACTCCAGACAAGGTTCTAGAGATGAGCACAAATGCCATGTCAGACTTCTGTCTGAAATCCAGTCTGTTATGCCAGATGAAGGTAGATGGCTGTGCCTGTGTAGCTGAGGCGCAGATGTCGGGGAGAGGCACACCACGGAGGGACACTGTAGAGGTCGCCAATGCCCTGGTGGAATGAGGGCAAATAGCTTGAGGGACTGGTTGTCGAGCAAGCTGGTACAACATGACATGGCAATTTTCCATGGGTTTCTTCTGTTACAGTGGGACTAAACCAAGAAGTAATGGAGCAGAACTTTATAGCACATTGTGTCATTGTGCAGAAGCCAACCTAGGATGCTTTCTTTGGTTTCTTGGAAGGGAACAAACTGGAGAAGCAAGAATGCTCTTGATTGGAAATATACGCAATGGTGGGGAAAAGCTCCAGTGGTTCTTAACTTTGCAGCTTTCAGATGTTTTGAATTTCAACCCCCAGAAGCACCAGCCAGCAGAAGGAATACCCATGGATCATGGGAATTGAAGTCCAAAATATCTGGTGACTCAAAGGTTGAGAAATTGGTTTAGTTGATCGCATTGCAAGTAGAAACAACCAAGCGGGATGTGCATCACCATGCTGCTCTTCCATAAAAATCCATAGTTCCTGTAGATCACTGATGAGGCATGTGGAGGGGAGGGGGGAGTGTCACAGTAAATACACTGGAGTCTCATCTTGTATGAAAATTTTGACTTTTAAACATTATGGAAGAACACCATTAAAAGTGTAGAAAAAGAATTGCATTGTGACAAATCATGATGTAAGATTGCTTACCACCTAAGCATACCAATCTTTTAAAAGACTGTTTTTCATTACAATACAAATAACTCATTTTTAGAAATTAGCAAACAAAGGGAGCAACATTAGGTGTAAGAGTGCAGAGATTTACAAAGTGGCCACTTGTCCCTTGGGGCATAGTTGCCAGGGAAATGTGATTGACATTGTCTCATCCAAGGAAATTAAAAATCTTATTTCAAAAAGTCAACATGCTTAATAGGAGAATGTGTCCTGTGGTGCTCATATACTGAATAAAAGGGAAACTTGCCCCTGTAAATTTGTCTCTTTGACTAGGTCCTTTCACTCTTTATCCGGTACATTAACTTTTCCATAAGGCCTAACTGCCGTATTGTCTTAAACCAAGAACTGGCAGGTTACTCACCTGTAATTGTAGTTCTTCGAATGGACCTCTGTGATTCACACTGTGGGTGATCTGGGCCTGCGCGGAGCCTTGTCAAAATATTCTAGAGCTTCTGCGGTACCAAAAAATACATTAGAATAGACCTCTCCCCTTCCATATAAGTACCTTGGTGCCAGGACTCTCCCTTCTGTTGTGTCAACCACTGCAAGAGGAAAACACTGCATGGCGTGACAGAGGGGAGGTCGGGTGGGATGTGTGAATCACAGAGGTCCACTCAAAGAACTACAATTACAGGTGAGTAATCTGCCGTTCTTCTTCATGGCCTCTGTGAATCATACTAGGGGTGACTAGCAAGCTCTCTTACCCGGAGGCAGGGTGTCACACCAAGATGGAAGCCAAAATAGCATGTCCAAATGCCATGTCAGACTTCTATCTAACATCCAGTCCATTATGCCAGATGAAGGTAGATGGTTGTGCCCATGTAGCCGAGGCGCAGATGTCGGGGAGAAGCACACCACGGAGGAATGCTGTAGAGGTTGCCAATGCCCTGGTGGAATGAGGGCAAATAGCTTGAGGGATTGGTTGTCGAGCAAGCTGTTATGCAAGCTGAATAGTAGAGGTAACTCAGTGAGAAATTGTTTGAGAGTTGAAGTTACTTTTAGGCCTTTGTTAGGAAGTTGATGACTGACAAAAAGGTGTGGGGAACGCCAAAAAGGCTTTGTGTGCAACAAATAAAAGGAGAGGACCCTCTTGATGTCCAAAGTATGAAGGAGACACTCATGGGTTGTGGATAGTGATGGAAAAAAGGAGTGGAGGACTAGTGGTGCTCCCATTAGCTGTTCTCAGAATATTAAACATCTTAATGTTAGCAGTGTGTACTCACATTTTGCCACATGAAAAAGGTCCAAATATTTTTATTTTAATACATTTGCTCTCCACAAAGAACAACTGAACATTCAGATTCTTGTCCAACACTGATAACAGCGCTGAAATTGAAGAGATGTCTTCCAAACATACGGAGGTTTTCACTCTTCCCAAGCATCTCCATACTTATTGACTTTAGCTATAAAAGAAAGCAGACATGGTAATGCACACATAGATGACTTACAGTTCAGCCCTATCAAAGTGACTGCATATCAGGAACAATATGAACTACCAATCAGCAGATCTTGACCTGGCACAGCACTGGATCTGAACTAATTCTGACTGTCAGAACATTATATTTTCACTGCCATGCTCACCAATTCACTAGTGGGTTCCTTGCAGAACAGCAGGACGATATACCATTTGTGACTTATTTTTGATTTACATATTGTTTCATATATTTGCATTCTGATTTAAAAATAAAATGCCTCTATATTTCAAAACTTAACTGGAAAGTGCACTGAAAGATATAATAAATTCTTAGTTACAACCTTGTTCTCACAGAAAGATTTTTTAAAAAACTACAGTGGTACCTTGACTTACGAACTTAATCCGTTTTGGAACGACGTTCGTACGTCGAAAAGTTTGTAAGTCAAACTACCATTTCCCACTGAAATGCATGGGAACGTAATTAATCCGTTCCAGCATTTCAAAAGGCAAAAAGGCAGGGGGAAAGGGCTGGAAATTCCAATTTCCCGCCCTTTCTTCCTGCCTTTGTGGCTTTGGAGGTCTCAAATGACTTCCTCCGATGTTGGGGGGAAAGCCCTTTGAGCCCTCCGAAGGTGCCGATTGCCGTGGCAGGGACCCCCAGGGAGGTCTCCCAGGGATTGCCCGCCACCATGGGAGACCTCCCTGGGCGTCTCTGCTGCCACGATCAGCGCCTTCAGAGCTCTCAAAGGGCTTCCTCCGATGTCGGGCGGAAAGCCCTTTGAGAGCTCCGTAGGCGAAAAGGCAGAGAGAAAGGGCTGGAAATTCGAATATCCCGCCCTTTCTCCCTGCCTTTTTGGCTTCGGAGCTCTCAAAGTGCTCCCCCCCCCAACATTGGAGGAAGCCCTTTGAGAGCTCCGAAGCCAAAAAGGCAGGGAGAATTTCCAGCCCTTTCTTCCTGCCTTTTTGCAGGGAGCCATTTACGAACGCTTCCGTTAACAAAAATGGCATTGACTTGCTCATAGGTCGAGCTCCGTTCGCAAGTCAATGCCAATTTTTGCCAACGGAACTGTTCGTAAATTGAAACATTTGTATCTAGGAATGTTCATAAGTCAAGGGTTGACTGTAAATGGTAAGTCATACTACTTCCTAGCATATTTCATTGTTTCCCTATGCAGGACTGTTTCTAATCAGAAAAACACAATTTCAAGTTTGGTGCCAAATGCAGTTTTGTTCCAAGAGAACGGTAAACAGAAAAAAACAATGGAACATCCTTAAGATTATGTTTGACATTAACAAGCTAGCTTAAGCCTCCCCTCCCAAAACAGGCACTCAAAAAGTTGACTCCTTCCACACATGTGCTCTGCTCTGTAAGTATTTTCTTAAAGTTTCATGGGACTGAAATCAGTCTCTGGATCCATTTATACATAATGGAAACATCCCCTTCATGCATTGCTGCCTTGTCGTAGGGAAGGGGCTTAAGTAATTCAGAGAAGCTATGGGCTATGCCATGCAGGGACACCCAAGACGGACAGGTCATAGTGGAGAGTTCTGACTAAACACGATCCACCTGGAGCAGGAACTGGCAAGCTACTCCAGTATCTTTGCCAAGAAAACTCCATGAACAGAAACAAAAGGCTAAAAGATATGACGCCAGAAGATGAGCCCCTCAGGTCGGAAGGTGTCCAGCATTCTAATGAGGAAGAGCGGGGGACAAGTACAAGTAGCTCCAGAGCTAATGAAGTGGTTGGGCCAAAGCCGAAAGGACGCTCAGCTGTGGATGCCCCTGGAAGTGAAAAGAAAGTCCGATGCTGCAAAGAAAAATACTGCATAGGAACCTGGAATGTAAGATCTATGAACCTTCGTAAGCTGGATGTGGTCAAACAGGAGATGGCAAGAATAAACATTGATATCCTGGCCGTCAGTGAACTAAAATGGATGGGAATGGACGAATGCAGTTCAGACGATTATCATATCTGCTATTGTGGGCAAGAATCCTGTAGAAGAAATGGAGTAGCCCTCATAGTCAATGAAAGAGTGGGAAAAGGTGTACTTGGATCCAATCTCAAAAACGATAGAATGATTTCAATACGAATTCAAGGCAGATCTTTCAACATCACAGTAATCCACGTTTATGCACCAACTACCAATGCTGAAGAGGCTGAAATGGCCCAATTCTATGAAGACTTACAACACCTTTTAGAATTGACACCAAAGAAAGATGTTCTTGTCATTACAGTATAGGGATCTGGAATGCTAGAGTAGGGAGTCAAGAGATAAAAGGAACAACAGGTAAGTTTGGCCTTGGAGTTCAAAATGAGTTAAAAAATACTTGCTTCTTGGGAGGAAAGTGATGACAAACCTAGACAGCATCTTAAAAAGCAGAGACATCACCTTGCTGACAAAGGTCTGCATAGTCAAAACTATGGTTTTTCCAGTAGTGCT